GTGGGGCGCGACCACCCCACCCCCCCCCGCCCCCCAAGTCACACGCTCCCCACCTCGGCAGAGCAGCTTGTCCCAGCCCCAATCCCTCCCTCTCCCCACAACAGACTTACCAGCTGGAGTCAGCTGTGTCCAGTGTGGTGAGGACTGCTGCCTGTTTAGTCTATGGCCGAATCTCTGAAGTGGCGCCGAATCAAAAATTGAGACAGCGATTCAAATCTCTGAATTGAACCACTGTCCCTTTGAAGAAAAACAAAAAAAAAAACACCACACACAACAACAACAGCAGCCCCGGCCAAACCGAATCCTCAGTGAATACTTGCCACTTCGAACAGGCTTAATATAGTTTTACTACATTTTTTTTACCCCATACATCTAGTATGAAAAAAGAAAAGCAGGTAATAACAGTTGAGCTGAACCAACCTTTCCAAACTTCCCAGTATGTGGCTACAATACACTTGATAAGATTAAAAAGTAATGCTGGGGAAGAGAGCAAAACTTCTTAAAAGCTTGAACATTTTGCTTCTCTGCATTTTCTATGCCTTGCTATGTTTAGATTAACAGCTTTTGAAGAGCCTTTAACCAAAAATTAGCAAACTCACACTCAAACTGAAATGAATACAACTCCCTCCATCTAAAATCTGATTTAAGCAAAGCTCTGTTCACTACGTGGATATCAGGACTGAGACAGTGTCAGATTGATTCGATTTTACAGAAAGCAAATAGAATGCACAATCAATCTCACAACAAATCAGTCAGGTCCCAGCCTCAAAATGTCTTAGCTAGTCACTTTCTAACACATGCATCTCCAAATACATGAAATCAATAAAATAAAACAATGCAAAGCCTGATAGTAATGATAAAAGAAAAGAAAGCAAATACAGTCCTAGCAATATTGTGCACAGCTCTGTCAGACCAAAATGAGATTTGCAGACAAATAATATTTTTTGTCGTCTCTACAGCAAACAAACAAAAAAAAATTACTCCATAAAATGGTGCAATTTTTATTGGATTAAAAAATATCATTTAAAAAGAAAATGAACCAGTAATTGGTAATGTGTAGAAAGTGTACCTGTGCCTTAATTCCCCTTCTATAAACTGGTTAACTGCACTTCCTCACTCCTAATCTTTTTGTCTTCCTATTTAAATAGGCAGGGAACTGCTTGCCAGAACATGCATGCACACAAGGTATATGCATACTGTAAGTCTGGCTCCTCATTCTGGAAAATAATCCAGTTCCACAGAGTAGAAACTATAATATAAGCTGAACACCTGGAAAAAATTGTCCCTCCTCAGCTTTCCCATGCATACTTAGTCCTCTCCCTGCCTCTTCTGACCTGAATGGGCAACTCTGTTTTTACATGGTTGTAGATTCATAGATTGTAAGGGGCTGGAAGGGACCTCCTAAGATCATTGGGTCCAGCACCCCTGCAGTAGGCAGAAAAGACAACTGGGGTCAAGTGATCTCAGTGAGATGACCATCCAGTCTCCTTTTGAAGGAGAAGTGATTGTTCCACCTCTGGAGGGAGTTTATTTCAGTCTGGACCAAGGTTCCCTCTAAGGTGCATGCACGCACGGCTGCGCACAACTAGAAGTGCGGCCGCACACAGCCTTTTCAAGGCTGTGCACCAGGAGAGGCTGGAGCCCAAACCCGGTGCAGACTCTGCCAGCTCCAGGGAAGTGCTCCACTCCCCGGCCCTGTTGTGGGGGAGCAGAGCACTTCCCAACCCGGTTGCAGACTCTGCCAGCTCCCTGCCCCAGCCTCCATCTCTGCTTTGCCTCATCTTGGAAGATCATAGAGTCCAGCCCCCTGCCCCAGGGGCAGGAAGTCAGCTGGGGTCACAGGATCCTAGCAAGAAAAACATCCAGGTGGGATGTTTGGAGGAGTTTCGCCAGAGATCCCATGATGACTTCAGCCAGCTCCTTCATCACTCTCAGATGAAGTTCACCCAGTCCTGCTGACTTATAAATGTCTACCTTTTCTAACTGATCATACACCCATTCAGCATCAACAGTAGGAAGGTGGTCATTCCCACCATGCCCATTCTAAACCTTATCTTTCCTCTTAGTCTGGTGAAATACCGAAGGAAAGTAGTCATTCAGGAGAAGCAAGGTGGGTAAGAGTGCTCAGAAACTCCCTTGGCTCAGCAAGGGCATTCAGGAATGCCTGAGGACTAAAAGGGGGGCACTCAACCAGTGGAAGGAAGGAGCTATCACCAAGGAGGAGTACTCCTCCTTGGCCCGGGAGTGTAGGAGGGCTATTAGGAAGGCCAAGGTAGAGATGGAGCTCAGGCTAGCGTCCAGGATTAAGGACAAAAAAAAGTCCTTTTTCAAGTACATTGGGAACAAGAAGAGGGCACCAGGCAATGTAGGGCCCCTGCAAGATGCAAACGGTAATCTGGTGGTCACGCCAGACAAGAAAGCTGATATTTTTAACAGTTTCTTTGCCTCTGTTTTCTTGAACAGGGACCAGGATATCCCGCCTACCAGAGGTAGGAACAATCTTGGGGATAGCTCTATCAAGCCTTCAGTCAGTGCAGATGTAGTTCAGGATCTTCTAGAAGGGCTAGACATTTTTAAATCTGCAGGTCCAGATGCCCTCCACCCAAGGGTGTTGAGGGAGCTGGCAGGGGTCATCACAGAGCCCTTGGCCTGGCTGTATGAGCATTCGTGGTCATCTGGCCAGGTACCGGGGTATTGGAAACTGGCTAATGTGGTCCCAATTTTCAAGAAGGCAAAGAAGAAGGACCCAAGTAACTATAGGCCTGTAAGTCTCACCTTGGTGCTCAGGAAGATCTTGGAGAGAATCATCAAGGAGCACATCTCCTGCAGGGAGATCATGCTCAGGGGCAATCAGCGTGGGTTCATCAAAGGCAGGTCCTGCCAGACCAACCTGATTGCCTTTTATGACCAAGTAACTAAATCTTTGGACAATGGTGTCACCGTGGACGTAGTCTTTCTAGACTTTGAGAAGGCCTTTGACACGGTCTCTCACCCCATCCTCATCAATAAATTAAGCGACTGTGGCATTGATGCCTGCACAGTTGGATGGGTAAAAAATTGGCTGATGGGGCGCACCCAGAGAGTAATGGTGGATAGGTTGTACTCAACCTGGCAAGATGCGAGTAGTGGGGTAACCCAAGGGCTCGGTTCTTGGGCCCGTACTGTTTAACATCTTCATCAGCGACTTGGACGAGGGGGTGGAAAGCACACTGTCCAAATTTGCTGATGACACTAAGATCATGTGGGGCAAGGTAGACATGCTTGAAGGGAGACAGAGGCTGCAACTAGATTTAGACAAACTACAAAAGTGGGCAGATTAGAATAGGGTGGGGTTCAACGTAGACCAAACCAGGGTGCTGCACCTTGGGAGAAGGAATCCACAGCATACACACAGGCTGGGGAGTTCCCTTCTTGAAAGCACAGAGACAGAACAGGATCTTGGAGTCATTACTGACTCCAAGATGAACATGAGCCGCCAATGCCAGACTGCAGCCAGCAAGGCCAGCCATACCTCGTCATGCATCCAA